GGATTAAACAGCAATAGCCTCAAACACTTGAGGTCCAACGGCAATGGCTAAGGGTTCGGAGGCACTTGTTGACAAGGCATCAGCAAATGATTCCAACGCTTCAAAGAGATCATCGACGAGGCAACTGAATATAACATCCAACACCTTGGACCTATTATCAAACTATTGGTCTATTTTTCATTAAATAATAGATGTAAGACAAATGTGGTAACCTGATCGAAACATATTATAAAATTCAATGGTGAGTCTAGGGCTGGGCAAATCTCCCGAACCGAACCCGACGATTCTTGTCAAATTAAATACCCGAACGGGTATCTGAATTGAGAACCGACGGGTACGGTTCGGTTCTCGGTTCTAGACCAAGAATCGAAGAACCGAATAAAAACCGAATCTTTCTAATTTTTTTTATATTGAATAAATTAAATTATTTTAATTTTAATTTTTTCTAAACAAATTAACAAATTAACAATTTCTAAATTCAAATTTTTGGCCCAATAATTTGTTTCATTTCTAATTTTTTTTATTTTTGGCCTAATTACCCATTTTATTGTCTCATTTTTTAGCCTAACAAGATCCAACCCACTAAATAACCCTAAACACCTACACTAAAGTGTATAACGCTGTCTCGACTCTCGCAGCCTCGCTAACATTCCAAAACCTATACAATCATCGACCGATGCTGTGACTTTCGATCAAAACTGTGACTTCGCCAACCGAAATTTTGACCGTAGCGATCATTTGAAATAGGTAGTCTACTAGTGTCTGACATTTCAAAACCATTGAACGTGTCATTAGTTATATTTATATAATGTTGTTATAAATGTGAAAAAATTTAATTATAGTACAGAACCGAACGGAATCGAACCGATCCGAACCGAACCGAACCGAACCGAACCCGAACGGTTCCATAATTATATTTGGACCCGACGGTTCCATTTACTAAATACCCAAAAATTTTGGTTCGGTTCGATTCTCTTTAGAACCGAACCGAACCGACCCGCGCCCACCCCTAGGTGAGTCTACAGTGTGTTACTAATGGTGAAGTTCATGGACTTTTTATTTTGAATTACTTTTCATGTATTTATTTATTCTGTCACCTTGAGCACTTCAAATATATTTATAGTTCCGCCATGTTATAATGGATGACAAGGATTAGAAGTAGACATTTTAATCGAATTTGAATCGAAATCGGAGATTTGTGTGCAATTTTAGAAAGAATATACTTAAGAACAAAAACCAAGAATGTATGGTGGAGTTTGTCAAGCAAGAATATCTGAGGATGATTAGAGAAGAAATTGACTTTTTGTTTTTTATTTTTTCATAATTTTTTAATTATTTAAATGGACTCATTTTTATTTTTATTTTTATTTTTTGAAAAAACGGTGATTATGATTAAAATTATTATTAGTTAATTTTTATTTTATTTAAAGAGGATACTAAATTCATTATTTTACAAGACTTTAATATAAAAATTGCAGGGTAGAAAGGGTTTGTATAATTTTTCTTGATATCAGGGTATATTTGGTCAAAATGAAAGGATATGGACGATTTGTATAAAATATTACTTTAGGACTTGTTTGAATCCCATTATTTTCAAAAAAATACATTCTTTAACATAGATTTGACATCATTCCAATTTCCAACCACACATTCTTCAATAAAATAACGTTACACGTAAATTTAAAAAATTTTCTTATTTTTTAATCTCGCATTTTCCATTGACTTGACATGAATAATGCATTTTTTCCCTAAAATATGACTCAAACATGAGCTAAATGAATTGTAAGTTAATGTATCATTAAGCTTGACTTTGAGAAGGACAATCAATTCGTTCAATGTTCTTTAAGTTTGACTCACTTTTTCAAATAATAAATAAATTGTGTTTATCATTTGGATTCTCGTTCACATTGAAATTAATTTATCTTGGTTAACTTTTGAGAATTGGAGGTTGGACATGGAATAGAATGTTAACTAATTAAGCAGAATTATTTTCTTTCTTGATAAAATTGGAAAACGTTCTTAGATGAGGAGAAAGCAATAAAAAGGTATCAACAGATTGAGGATTTAACTTTAGATGCCATATTAGGATCAAATTGCTACAGTGGTTAAAGATTGGAACCTCTTCTGTTAATTTTGCAAAATATAGAATTAAATTAAGGTAGAAAATTAGTTAACGTTTGACTGACAATACTGACAAGAAGAAGAAAACTCATGGTGTCTGAAAGAATTGGGTTATCCATGATTCTATATCTACAAACATTATGCAGCAATCTTCTCTAAAGCTTCGAATCTTCATTTGCCTGCATTATTTCTCAGTTCCATTCTCAACAATTTCACGTTACTTTCTTAATTTATCCAAAAAATCGGAAAACGGTTCCCATTTTTTGTTACAGCTTCAGCATCAATCCTACAATCAATGAGACGCATATCGGTGTTTCTCATATTATGTGTTTTGTATTTATTTTTGGGGTATTCGGGTTCCACAGGAGAATATTATAAGGGCCACAATAGTGTTACAGGGAAAAAATTCAATGGCGTTTTTCAAGCCCCAGCTCGCCGGTCTCTGTTATCGGATGCGATACAGTAAGTTTTCTTTCTGCCTGTACATCTGTTATAGTTTATGAATGTTCATCTTTATTTGTTTATAGCCAATTCTAAGGTAGTGTATTCAATTTGGATTTCATAGACTTCTATAGACTATTTTAAGCGGGTACTTCTATGAATTTGTTAAGCATTAATAAAAGTTTTCCATATACTTTCGAAGTCTTTCTTACTATCTAGTTAATATTTTGGAGAACTGTGATGCCTACAAATTTTTCTTGGGTAAAGTCATGCCCAATCATTCAATTTTGGAGCAAATAAAATAATAAAAATTTTTTACATCAATTTCTAAGAACATAACCAATTTTTTTTCAAGAAATAATGTAATTTTTAAGAAAAAAAGACGTTTTTATTTTTTTTGCTCTGATATCTTCACAAATCTCGGGAGATTTTCTTTAAGATTTATTATTTATATTTTTCATCAAAAAGTCTCCGGAAGTCCAGTAAGTGGAGGATTATCTAAAAGTCACCGTCTCTTTGACTTGCTCGTGACTTATATAGAGACTTCTAAAAGTTTCAATTGAATACTCAGTAAGTTTTAGAAATTTTTTAAAATTTTATAGAAGTCTCAATTGAATACATCTAAACTTTTTAAATCTTTAAAAGTCTCAAATGAATACATTCCCCCTAGTTTGTACTTGGAAATTGGGAAATTTTTGGTGGGCTGACAGGGTGTGTAGAATTAGGGTTCTGTATAATCTTAAATCAAGAGTTCAATTTTTATATATTTAAAATGCATGTATGAATTGTATTGGTCTGTTCTTTGTATTCATATGAGTAGTACTTCCGAATTTTGTATGATTTTGCAATAAACTTCTTTGCCAAATCAGGGGTACTGAAACTGATACTGCATTGGTGGCTGGTCTGGATGGTACAATTTATTTATTGGAGCTTGGTTCTACGAAACCTCTCTGGTCATTTTCATCAGGACAAACAATATACTCATCATATCAGGCCTCTGTCAATGATACGGAAAATGTATCCGGAATAGGAGGCCATTACTTCATTGATTGTGGGGATGACTGGGAATTATACGCACACAACAGCCTTGGCGGCAAACTGGTACGATTGATTACTTACAGAGTTCTTGTTGAAGTATTGCTTCTCATATGTTCCTATAAGCAAGTAGTTTTCGAAGTGGCTTTTGTTTTTCTTATTTTTAATAGGATTTTCTAATAACCCATGGGGTCAATGATACGGAAAATGTATCCGGAATAGGAGGCCATTACTTCATTGATTGTGGGGATGACTGGGAATTATACGCACACAACAGCCTTGGCGGCAAACTGGTACGATTGATTACTTACAGAGTTCTTGTTGAAGTATTGCTTCTCATATGTTCCTATAAGCAAGTAGTTTTCGAAGTGGCTTTTGTTTTTCTTATTTTTAATAGGATTTTCTAATAACCCATGGATGTTGGTAGCAAGATTTATTAAATTTTTTCCCTGCTGAAACAATTGCAACTGCTTTCTATGATTAGTGTCTTGTAGTTGTAATTTTTCTATTAAAGATTGTGTTTTTAGGTTATCTACTACCTTGGGGGATCAGATGTGTGAATAATCCAAACTTCTATTTTTCTTTTTCACATGAACATGAAAA